ACAAATTGTTCTATAATTATACTTATTACCGTAATAATGAAAAGATACGGAAAAAGCTATTACACTCTAAAACGTTTGACTTTTAAGAAGATATTTATAACAAATTGTTCTTTAAATATATTGTTTAATTATTTTATCAAAGATCTATATCTTCCGAACAAAAAGTAGAAATTTGAAATCACTACTATTTTAAAAGAAAAACTCACTTATTTCTGTCATCATAGTCAAATATTATCGATATAATAGAATCGATTTTTCACAAACGTAATTACCAAATACATACGCATTTGATAAATTTTAAAAATTGATGTTCTTACTGATTAATATTTTTTTAACATTTAATAGCAAAATAATTGTGTATACATATATATATATATATATATATATATATATATATATATATATACGGATTATAACGTGAATATAATTATATAATTATTTATGTATCTCTGTAAATGTAGGATCCTCACTAACACATAACAATAGAGTATAACGTAGAAAAGAAGCAGATTACCGTGAAATTACCGTTGCTGTGCAGAGCTTCGAATCATATTTCAATTTTTCTAGCCAGGCAGGCACACAGCAAAACGTGGAACGTTACATAAATATATTATACGCCGCCATTGTGAAATATCGTTCATTCCTCATTTTTTTTCATAGCTTCGTCTTTCTTCTTCTATATTTTTTTTTCTCTCTCTTAATCTCTCTCTCTCTCTCTCTCGCTCTTTGCACTCAATTTTCCACCTGATTTATACAGATACACAGAAATACGCATGTACATCGATTTAATGCGATAACAATGATCAATAACTCGAATTTATAGTTTCGTAATATCGACAAAATATGAAGCTACGAAAAACACTAGAGATTAGAGCTATCGAAAATTAATATTGAAAGTATACGAAACAAATATTTGAAATCAAGATGTCAATTTTAAAAAGTCGATATGTGTAATAAAAAGAAATAGAAAAAAAGATTAAAATGTGAGATTTGCATGCATTTGAAAGATTCATATCAATTTGTAGACATTTCAATCTATCCAATACAATTAACTTTTTGTATTACTCGAATCACTCGAAGCATATTTTCAAATAGACAATGAATTTCAACAACATACAAGGCTACGTAATTTCTCTGGGCACTCTTCGACGATCGAAACGTTGACATATTTACGTAAAGCTTTCTGGAGTGCAAACGAGGAACAAGCGAGAGAGAGAGAGAAGAAAATAGAGTGAAAGAGAAAGATGGCGGACATGAGGAAGGGGTTGTGAAACACAGGATACTCTGGATGCGTTTGCAACCGTACGTACGGTCGACTGTTTGTCGGCTAGTGAACTTGTTTGCGGTGGAAAATAGTGTTCTTTTCTCCCATCTGTTGTACCATCAGAGTCTATCGCGAACGTACATCATTAGCGCTGTCTCTTGGCTTTATTTTTTTCTCTCTTCAACTTACTCTCTTCCTTTTTTTCTCTATTTTTCTTTTAATGAAGCAGAATATGACCTTTCGTTGGTTCTTTCGCGTCACATTACAGTTTTCCCACAATACCTTTCTTTCTATCCTTTTCTTCCTTTTGTTTATCTATTCTCACACCAACTTGCTAAATCTATTTACCTTTCATATACCTATACCTATCCTTTTTCATCACCCCTACTCCTCTTTCTTTCTATCTCTCGGTTCTATAATATCCCATTAATTTTTACGTCTAACATGTGTTTCTTGTCTTGATTTTCATTTTTTATATTTTTTTTTGTTTTCTCTAAAATTTAAGAACGTATTAATAATTTTTTACTCAACGATTAAGGATTATCATCAATTTTAAATGGAAAATATTTGAGAAGATTTATATTACGTAAATTATATGAAGAAGAAAATATAAAGAAAAAGAAATAAGAGATAAGGATATGTTTTCTTAACGGACAAGAGTATTTTCATTATATTTACATTGAACGAATTCTCAGATAAATGTGTTAGTAAGTACACGTACGTTTTCTCCTTCCGGGTCAAGAGGTCCTCTTTAAAGAGAATATCCGTAAGGTCAGTCGTCGTCGGTTTTTCTTCTTCGCAAAGAAACATCTTCTTTTTTCTTCCTTATAACAAGGCGAATCGAACAGAGAAAAAGTATTCAGTCACGCGGGATTTAATTCGCAATTGTACTCGACCGAGCAGGAAACTTAACTTTTAGGTAAGGACCTCAACACGACTCGTCTAGTATTCTTTTTGTTATTTCTTCTTTCTCTCATGGTTGAAAGTGTTCGCAAGCAAGTTCAACGAAGACACTAAACTGAAATAAAAAGAAAAGGTAATAAAACATTTCAAATCTTTGAAAACGATATTTAATATCTCAAAGATTACGAATAGTTCCAAATTTGATTTTCCTATTAAATCAACTCAATCTGAGAAAATCTATGCGAATAGAAATTAGGTCAAGGTTTTTCTTCACTAACTATTTAGTTCTCTCAAGATTTCTGACTTAAAGCATGTTGTTCTCCAAAGATCAATGCTTCTAACTGGAATACCTACTTCAATGCGTATCTTCATTACCCATCTAAATTATCTCGCTAATTTCACGTGTTATCAATTCTATACGAATCAGGATCTCTCTCTTATCATTCACGAGAATTCTGAGAAGTCAATTTTGTTCTACCTATGACACCATTCTCATTTTACATCTAAACTAATTTAATAAAACAACACTGTATATCATTATCGTCCAATTAGTTTTTAATACATCGTGAAATAATATTATGTAAAATTATTAATCAAAATGAAATCGATGAAACTTTGTTATAATAGATCACATCAGCCAAATAAATAATATTCGCTCAAATTGTTCCTCAAACTTCGTCGTCAGTTATAATAATGTCGAAAATTAATTGCATTGCTTGGAGATCGACTTACATTCCCATACAATATTATAAATCACGTATGGCAGCATCCGTGTTCACATATTCCTCATTTATCTTTCTTTACCTATCTCTCTCTATCTCTCGTTCTATGTCTGTCTAGTTTTCCTCTTCATGTCCATCTTCTCTCTCTCTCTCTCTTTTCTATCTCCGTCTGTTCGTTGCAATGTACCAACTCATACCAAACGTGTACATACGGGTCAGTGGATACATGTACGTATTCGTAAACCTACTCAATATACAT